GTCTTAAGTTAGTTTTCTGTTTGTATTTGTGTACTTTATGTTCCTTTGTTGCTATATGCAAACATATTTATGTTACTGGAACAAAGTTAACCATCCATCTTCTGTAACCGCATATCCTATTCAGGGTCATAGGAGGCTCAAGAGCCTATAGGCACAATGCAGAGAACAATCCAGATGGGCCACCAACCCATCACAGGGCACACACAACTCTGGGCAATTTAGTACAGTAACTCCAATTTACCTTAGGACTGTGGGGGTTGGGAACTAGAGTATCAGGAGGACACCCCCTGGGAACAATGAAGTACCCGTCTATCTGTCTGTCTATACAAACAAATCCACTCTTACATTAGAAAAGTTATTTATATATTTCAGTGATATCATTCCCTGATATTTAAAAAAAACTGATCGTTGATAAACTAAAGTTTATCAACATCAACTATTTTTATTTACATTGAAAGCACTGTCTAAGTATTATTATGTATCATAAGAGTCATGCAACCTTCTCGGTTAATAATAATAGTTAGTCAATTAATTAATTAATTAATTAATTATTCTTCCCCTCCATGAACTACAGGAGGTTTTTTCTCACAATGTCGTCTTTCTTTGTTCCACACTGACTTTTAAATTTACGTAACACTAACCAGCATTCTTAATAATTTTTACTTTTAGTTATTAATCGTTATGTTATTAATCGTTATGTTATGTTATCTTTGCACTCTGATAACTACTGTATGTCAGACAAGGCAATCTGAGAAAATCAGATGAATAATGTATCAAAATTTAATAAAAAGAAACATCGCAAAAAACCTCTGCAGGTAGGCCTATGTATGCAATGGCCATACTTTTTTTTTTTAGCGTGCGGAAGGGGATCAAAGAGTGACCAGAACTGCAATATATCTGAATCTGTATCACATAATATCGCCTTTGCTACCCTTTGTCTTTCTTACTGAATCCCCGTGTAAAGTAATTCTTCTGTTTATTTTTTTTCCCAAATCAACATAGGCATTGAGGTAATTCTTGCACTTTAAAGCAATATTCAGTGTTAAGCATATATTTGTAATTACATCCCATGATATTCCGGCATTTTCTCCCCTTGTTTCTGATCTCCCTCACCTGGAGTCCTTTTTCTATTTGCTCCTCATCTCCCTCCCCAGAAATCCATTCTCTCCTTGTCCCCGACCTCCCTCACCGGGCTGCCCAGCGCCGAAAGCGTTAAGCACCCTAACAGATTTGTAAAAGAAGGCACCTCCCTCCCCATGACCCAGCGCCAAGACGGTGATGCGCTTTAAATAGCAGGTGTTTGAAATTGTGATCATTTCCAGTCCCCCAGTAGCACATTGAGGACGCCGCACGATGTCCGCCACGGGCACGGAGACCAGCGGCTCGCTGCCGGCCGCTGCGGGGAGGGTTTTCTTTCAGGCAGCCCCCGCAGGAGGATGCACCGTAACGGGGCCAGTAACACAGGACGACCCCGTTCAGAAGAAACATGGGAAAGTGACCGTGAAGTATGATCGGAAGGAGCTGAGAAAAAGGCTGGTTTTGGAAGAGTGGATCATCGAGCAGCTCAGTGAGTTATATGACTGTGAGGTGAGTGCTTAGTGCTAAATGACACACATCTGTGATTGCAATCGCTGTCTTATGAATGGTTAGTGAACCCGGTAAGGTGCCCATGGGAAAATCTAACCAGCGAGCAGTCATTTGCATTGCTCGGCTATAAGGTATTCTCCTCTGTCTCTCAGACCGATTGCCATAAGGTTATGTTTAAAATAAATAAATAAAAATAAAATTAAACTAACTGCTTGCAAACATCTCTCTAACCTGTATACACTTTAAAAATATTTTTATTATTTTGAGCGTAGTTATATTGCAGGCAATGTTATTGTAGCAATCACTACTGTTGGTTCCAGGATTTCTGGACAATGTTCGCATCGATTCGGCGACAGCTGGATCAGGAATGAGGTTCGCAGGCGATCGGAACCAGAATGTCTGAGGGTCCTCTTGACGCTTGCATTTGGAATGAGCTTTTTACCAGTCCCTGCCGTTACCCGCAAAACCTACCTGTATGCCTTTGTCTGCAAGATTGTATCACTAATATTACTGTTTTGTTTCATCATGTATTTTTTTTTTAAATATTTGTTATACCCTAGTAAGAGGCATACTTTAACATGAAATTGACGGATTCTAATGTCTTTCGTGTGCAAAATTCTCTGACGAGGAATCTAGATATTCTGGATTGTTTTGTTAGGCAGTAACTTGCCTTTTGTTCGCCTGTAGTGTTGACTACAGGGGATTTCTGAGCAATCCGATGACACCACTGCAGAGGTGTGTGTGTGTGCATGCGCGCCTGTGTCTGTGTGTGTGCCGCTGTGAATCTGGCATGTGGACATGCATGGAAACTGAGCTGAGGAACTGAAATGCTCACTTCTCTTCAAAGTCGTGTTTGAGTGAGAAGGGGTACGGATGTGGTGAGGCAAGGCTTAGGTGTTAAGCACTAGCAGCTTATTAGCCAAGATCCCCTAGAGGATTGTGGGCTCCATTGAAAAATACAGATAGCTGGAGATGGATCAAATGAAAGCAAGTTCAATGGCTGGATACCTTCTTCCAGTAGTAAGGTGCATCTGCTCACTGGCCAGGATGGATGGGTGTAGACAATCTTGCATTTACATTGCTTGAGTCACCTTTCATTTATGGGTGACCTTATACCAGAATCATAATGAGTTGTCACCAAGTACTTTAACATACAAGCAATTTACTTTTTGGTGTCCTGCAAGATGAGTATGGGCAATCAACACATAAATTTCATACATAGAATAAACAATCCGTGATTACAATGTGTTTTGCACCATCATGTAGACCGTAGGGTATGTCAGCAAATGACTAACAGACTGGTTGTTCCTCATTGCACAGCCAGGTGTTGAGTTTGTGCCCCTTTCAAATGTTACAGCTGTTTGAGATGCAGCGGGAAGTCCTCGTTGTTAATGCTAATTAGCATGTCGCTCCCTCGCTTGACATTGTCGTGCCGTATAAGAAGCTGAGACGAGCTATAGGCTGTAAATGGTGAGGTGGCGACGGCCTTTCCCCCCCATGCAGGGCGCTCTAATTGGCTGGAAGAGTGTTTGGCCCTCAGGGCGAGAGTGGTAGTCATTATGCGTCATGTTGCGAGCTTCAGTCTTAGGATCCACAAAAGATTCTGCCTTTTGTTGTTTTGAATGATTCTGCCCAAAATCTGTGCGATGGTGACTTGTTTGCATGATAATAGGAGCCCCGGTGGGAGGGTCCCTTTGGCTGTGAGGACGACCTTTTAAAATACCTGTGACCTTGGTTATTTGTGCAGCAGTTAAGGGGCTCGACCAGAGCAGTGTTTTGGCTGGAGAAGCGTGTAGCTGTGTGATTCCCGGGTGTCGATCATGGATTTGGTCCAGCATAGCTGTCAGCCGGGGGTGTTGGGCCTGCCGAGGCTGCGTGGCTCCATGGCTTTAAGGTCAGACCTCATATCAGTTTCACATGAATCTGATAGCAGTGGTAGAAGCGGGGGGGGGAGGGGTAGTTTATTGACACACCAAGAGCTGCTTCGATCCACTGTCTTCTGAGCTGGACTGTGAGGTTGTCTAGTCTCAGGATGGGGTCTCGTTTGTCACCTGTCCAGAGGAGCTCATGGAGTAAGATGTCAGAAATGATGCAAGATTATTACTTATCTCCTTGGAGACCTTGGTCTTCATAGGGTATGAAATGATGAGATGAGATGTGGGATCATAAAGTGTTACCTGTGTTGTTGCAGAAGGTAGTCACTTCTCTGGGAGAGTGCAAAAATAATTATGGGGTGGTATATTAGAGGCTGGTCTGGGAGGAATGTCTGCACATTGGGGGAATCCTGTATGTACTGTGCATAGGTCTTTGTTTACCCTCTCAATGGGGTGTGGTCTGCACCGGTGTAGTAGTCAGGGTGAGATTCCACGCTCTTGTGAGACAGGATAGCAGCTGTAGGTGAAGCCCTTCTTTGCTGTGCCATCCTGTGTGTGAGTCATTGTATTTGGGTTAGATGGTCCATGTGAAGTGCCCCCCTCCCCCCCCAAAAGTGGCTTAGCCTGGGAAGTGAGAAGTTTCATTTCACCAAGATGATCTGGAGATTTGACCCTGTTTTGATACACTATCATTCAAGGCAAAGATTTGCTGTATTTCAGCATTACAATGTGTATGGAAGTCTGACGTATCAGATTATTGCAATCCAGGTGACAAGAAGCATCACAAATACACACTCGTTAGTAGAAGGACACTTCTTAATGTACTGATGATGCTTTGAGTGTGGGAACCAGACACGCAAAACTGGAACTGTTTTCCAGAAATGTGAATGTCCACTAATACTAATTTCATGTGTGTAGAGATTTGTCAATGTTCCAATTTTTAGATTCCTGGACGAGATTAAGAAATCCAGTAATAAAGTTTGAGAGTTCAGAGCCTGTGGGCTACCTGCCCCGTGTTACACTATACCCTTCAAGAGCTGTCAGTCAGCCACTCTTACGTAACTTCATCTGTAGCTAATCTAAAGCTGTTTTCCGTGTCCCTGTCACCCGCCTGGCCATCTTAAGTGATGGCCATTCCAGCAGGCAGTGTTTATCATTTAGAAGTGCCACAGTCACTGCTCTGGATCCAGCCAGGAGTGGCATTCGCATGGGATCTCTGTGCATCCGTTTATCTCTCTGCTATCCAGCAGCAAGTCCGAGGGAGCATAAGGCACAGAGCAGAGGGACACATTGGCTGAGATTTCGGTCCCTCAGAGCCAAGCACAGCCCTGCACACTGTAGTCACTTTCACGCTTTCATTGGGTCCGGACACTTTCCAGAGTTGCCCTTTCATACATGTGGCACACAGCCGGAAATTTTCCATGTTGGATGCGTTCATGCCTACTATAAATACTCCAGTTGGTTTAGACGAGGGGTAGAGCATACAGGAGCCAGGACATGACGCAATAAGTATGCTGGATATCGCAGGGTTTTGTTTACAGCACATCAAAGATGGCGACAGAAGTTACTGACGGAAGTTCCCGAATCTTGTCATCTCCGGTTTAGCCATGTTCCTTGGGGTCGTCTTTGTCTAAATGACCCTTCTTCGCTTTTCATCATCACGCCAGTCACATGATATAGACGTCATTGACACGCATGCTTGCTCGCTGTGAGTTCTCCAGGCACTTTCCTGCACCGTGCACACGTAGGGGTCAATGGGAAATTACCCGGATTTTACTCTTGGGAGATAGCAGGGTAAAGTCAGTTATGTCCAGTGTGACCCTTTCGGACGTTTGCCTTCACATATACAGCCCCTCCCGGTAATGTCTCAGTTCATGGTGCTAGTGCATGTTTGGAAGGGGGTTATGTTTGGAGGAAACTTGGATGACAGACAGGAAATATAACTTCCACAAACACAGCAGGGGTGTGATTCAGACCCCCCTTCCTTTACTTGCATTTTCATGCTTTCAGAAAGATCACCTGACTTCATAAAAAATACTTCACCTACGACTAATTGTTGCAAGTCTGTCTATAACGTTTTGCTAAATCATTTGGAAACATGTCTAAGGAAACTGCTACATCAAAAACGAACTGGATTCCATTTTGTGGATGGCTGGGCATTAGTGGGACTCGCTAAGACATTTCTTAATGTGAGTGACCTATATTTTCCAGCAGTGATGGAACTAATTCTGCCGTAGTCCTTGACAGACCTGCTTGTCCAAAATAGCCGGACTTATCACATGTGCCGTAGTGGAAATAGTTGCTAAGCGAACAGTGTCAGGTGGCAGAGCTGTGATCATCCAATCCATACCAAGCATGTCAAACCTCAATGGCACATGTATCGAAATCAGTTTGGGTGGTTTCAATATGCAAGTCATTGACCTGCTGTATTTTCAAAGTGTGGGGTGTTGCCGTATAGGTCCACACTGACCAGTTATGAAATTAGAAAATTGAACTAAGGCTCTTAATGTGGCTGCCTCCCCATTATTTAGATAAATTTGATTATTTACGGTCAGCACGCCCAAAAATTCCATCTTCACCCTGCAGACGCACTGGTCTGTGAGCTGGCCATGATCTTTTAGGAACTTGACACTCCTGTGCATCAAGGACTGTCTATGATCTTTGAGCACGTTGGCCAATATTGGATAAGACACCGATATCACAAGACTCAACAAATAGGTTAAGATTTGTGTGGATTTCGGAAGGGAAAATTCCTTTGTCTGGCGGTCGTGTTGGTTTGTCGTTTCCTGAATGATTTATTTGTAGAAGTTATATTACTAAGGGGCAATATAAAGACCCTGCTAAACTGACTGTTATAATATGTGAACTTAAGAATTATGCACCTTGCTAATATGGTAAAACTGCATCTTGAATACCCCCTGACCCATACGGTGAGCACCTTTTTAAATAATTTTGCTTTCTTGTACTAGCCCGCATCTTCTTTCTGCCGAGAACAAGTTAGAGATTCCTATCAGCAATGTGTAAAGTAGCCTCTTAAAAACACGACGATTGCTGTCGGTGTCAAATCTTGGTTCAAAAGTAAATCGAGTGATGGCTGGCCGTCTTGCATGTGGTGCTGATTTAACTTAAGGATTCAAAGATGAAGATGCATCAGGACCTGCCAAGGTTCCGTGTTGCCCTGCGGTCACCTTCTTGAGTGAGAATCACAGCTGTGGTTGTGGACCTGCTCAGGGTTCTTTGCTTGGTACCATATGACCAGATGTTTGGACAGTAGCAGAATTGCCCCCTTGCTGGACAGGTGCTGCCGTACACAGACCTGACAGGCATGTAACCTGTTCGTAATTGCTTTCTATTCACAAATCGTGTTTGGATTGCAGAGATGTATGGAAAGGGCTCCGGTTGATAGGAATGAGATGGGATGATGCAAGAATGCCAGGAATTGAGACTGCCCTGGGACCTTCTGCGATGGGGAGGCCAGTCACTCCAGGTGTGAAGAATAGCTGAGTGCTCTTTCTTTGAAGCCATTCAGGGTTCTGAAACTGCTCCCCCTTCTGGTGACCTACAGCATTGGCAGTCAGAGGGGATCTGCTCTTGTTTTCATTCAGACTGTTTTTAGAACTGTATGTTCACCACCTTCTGAAGCAGAGCTCCTGCTTTGCTCCTCCCACAAGACTGCAGAGGATGACATCACTCAAAGCCCGGGGCAAGAAGTATCTTTATAAAGATTAAAATAGGCTAAATCACATCATTCAGCTGCATTAATGATCATCAGGGGCTGCAGGTTTAGCCTGCTGTGAAAGGTCAGAGCCGAGCTATAAAACTCTGGTTATGAAGGTCTTCCAGAGACTGCAGACATTGTCCTTACATTGAAGGTTCATGAACCAAGTCCATCTAACCTGCATGGAACTCGGACTTTGTTAAAGACCTTTCCTCAAAACCCTACGCGTGAACTATTAATGAGTTTCTTGAACAATGTTTGATTAAATGATTCTTTTCCCTCAGGAGGAAGAGATGCCTGAGGTTGAAATAGACATTGATGACTTGCTAGAGGTTAACAATGAGGATGAAAGGGCTTTGAAACTTCAGGTAAGTTCTGGGTCATACATGATATGTGGTTGAACATGACTAGAAGCTGGTACGACTGAACAAAGCTCGCAGTATACACTGAAACAAAGTTCTTTGCCCCTGTCCTGTCATGCGTTTATTCATGTCCGGAGGTGGCGGTTGCTATGAATCCTTAAACATTTAAGAAAAATGTTGAAGTAACCAGAAGCAGCATAATTTACACTGAACAAAATGTCACGATGTTCTTAAGAATGACATTTTATGCCTACATTTTGCCCTTCATTAGGAATCTCTGATAGACTGCTATAAACCAACAGAGGTGAGTAAACCTTTCAAATATTTATTAGTGGGGTTACTGTGTTAAATTAAATAAGAGTCCAAAATTCAGTTAAATAAGCAATGAAGACTTGCAGCTCTTGAAACCTTGTGTGCACAGGTTCTGCTGTGTGGAGGTTTCTGGGCGTTTTCTTGCATGTAAACTTGACATTAGTAAGTTCACACAAGGGTTTTCATGTATGTCGTGTATATTCACTATTTGAGAGGTCAGTTTAGGGGCTTCATTGCACATCATTTGTCCTGGTTGCCTTTAGTGAGCTGAAAACTCCTGGTAAATGTGTGAATGCTGCTTCCCAGCCAGATGAGGGTTTCACCTGCATGGCTGACAAATACCCTCATCAGCAAAATGAGCTGGAATTCGAGCCGCAGAGAGGATGTGCTGCCCTACATGCATGATGGAAAGACCTTGTATGACTGTGACTAAAAGTGTGCATGAGTGTAAAAGATGATCTCTACACTGTGGTCTATGTATGCTATAGGAAGAACTTGCTCCGTGATAAACATGCCGGTCAGCGGTCTGTCACTAAACTGCGCAGTAGCCTTTTCCAAGTAAAAGTGGTAGATCCAGGCACTAGAAGACTCCAAAGTTGAGCTTGAGTAGAGGTCAACCCATATGATGGACCCTTTGCCAAAGTAATGATGATCCAGAATCATCCCGTTTGGCATGGTGTGTCTTGTATTTGTAGCTTCATGTGTAGGTCTCTAGCAGGTTGGGTTTAATTAAAATTAAAAGTAGAATGATTGTATGGCTTTGGAGGCCGTCTACCATTTCCATGGCAACGGCAGCCCGACGCTCACAGGTAAACTCTGCTGACTAATTGGAAACCTCATTAAAGCAGAAGTGATTCAGGGGCTTCACTGAGTAGTACGAGATGTCTGCATTATTTGTATTTTATATGTTTTGCTCTTAGGCAGGAGGGAGGGCCAGAAGATAGTTCACTCATGACCTCTGTCATAACTTTTCAAAAAATTAGGTTAGGAGTTAAAATTGTACAAACTACTATGATCTGCAGATATACTTGTTTCTGTCCCACTTCTATGGTTTTTCTGGTGCTATGTACTATTGCTCAAATTTCCTTTTGTCGTGCTAACTGCTCTTGTCTCATCCCTTTGGTCTCCTGCATCTGCTGACCTGCTGGGTGGCCTTTCCATCCCATCCACATTTCACAGGAGTTCGTGAAGGAGCTGCTGGGCCGGATCAGGGGCATGCGGAAGCTGAGCGCCCCCCAGAGGAAGGGCCTATAATGGCGGCCACAAAGCCGGAGGCAGGATCTCGCCAACACTATGTGGACTCAATACTAGATCCTTATTTTTATTTTGCCATTTTCAAGAACTGTTTGTAAAAAGCACACTTCACATGGAGGATATTTTTTTTGGGGGGGGAAGGGAGGGGAGGGTTCTGTTAAATTTGTTACACAGCAGATATGCTGAGGCCCACGTTCAGGCCGTGACTGCCTCCTCACCGAAAACTGACCTTGAGCATGACGCGTGCGGCATGGCGCAAAGCAGGCGACTGTGCAAGGCATTCTGGGGATTCCTGTTTATCGCATTAACACGACTTGTCATTCTGCATGTCACGGTTTAACCCTTTGTGCAGCTAGGTTTAGAGCAGGGGTGGCCAATCTTATCCGCAAAGGGCCGGTGTGTGTGCGGGTTTTTCGCTGCAACTCCCTAATTGGATTACTAATTATAGGACTGATTGGCTGAACAGTCCTCACACCTGGGTTTGAACAGCTGACCTCCAGGTTATCCCAAAAACCTGCATCCACACCGGCCCTTTGCGGATAAGGTTGGCCACCCCTGGTTTAGAGAATGGTGGGTGGTCTATTCAAATTCACAGACCTCTGCCCAGGTACATACTGCCATGGCCAATATTTACAAAGACTCGGTTTTTCTGCTTATGATTTGGACCTTTCTCAATTTTTATTTTTCTTATTTTGTTTTCCTTGGCAGCAGGATAGTTGTCCTTCAGCGAAACGCTGAAAGAAGATGTGATGTTTTCAGTAGGTTTTCCGATGTCTTGCCGCCTGAGTACAGCAGAACACCACGTAGCGTTTAAGACCAAAGGTGTTGGGCACATGCAGCTACTGCCCCCTGCTGGACCTGAGAGGACGGCAGGCCGAATCCTGTCGTGGCGCTCCACGGAGTAAACATAGCCGATTGGAACCCCAAGCCCTCAGTTTAGACCCTCGCCCATACTGTACGAGTTCTGCTGAAGAAGTACTGAGTATGAAGCACTGAAGGCTGTATATTGTAT